ATTTATATATTTTAAAACTCTCCCATATCCGCTACAACAGAATTCCATAAACTCAAACACTCTCTTAAACTTGAAAATGCAATTATTTCCTTCAGGAATCTTGCTGTAATAAGTCTCTGTTGCTTTGCCCTCTGACAGTCACTCTCTCTTCCAACAAGGACACTTCTATTTTCCTCTGTAGAGTCAGTCATCTTTCTCCTTAATCCAGGCCCTTAAGCCAGGGCTGACAGAACCTGCAACCTCTACCTGGAGTGGACAGGTGACTCAGGACTAGCCAACCACAACACACCACCTCCTTACCCCACAGTATTTGGTTTGGAGACAGGCAAAACACTAAGTGAAGGAGAGACCTATTTGCTTACACTACTAGGGAAAAGTTGTTATCTATTCCACTGTGTAGGCTAAACTTACTGAACTCATCCATGAACTGCTGGGGTTTGATTACCAATACCCGGTGACAGCATGCCTGGAAATGAATGACAGGAAGGCTCAGATGGGCTGTTGTGTATAATTTAATGGTAGAGTAGTTGCCTACCATGGATGAAGCTAGGAGTTATATCTTCAGTACTGAAAGAAAACGAAAAAGTAAGGCCCAGAAACCAAATGTTGAATGATGGAAAGTTTTGGACTCCAGTGACACAGTTTATGTCCTGCAAGTCTTAGTTCTTAGGTCTGTGAGCTCCTGAATTTCCTTTCGTATTAAATTGGCTTGAGCTAGGAAATTCTTATAACTGAATTTCTGTCATCTGCTGTGTTGTTGTACTTTTTGCTCTCAGAATCCTTATGGGCTAAATTTTTATTATTTCACTTTTTAAAAAAAATTATGTATTTATTTATTTTTGTGTGTGTGTGGCCAGCTCAGCCCACCAGGGGGCGGGGCTGGCTGGCATGTGGTGCTGGGGGATTGAACCGCGGTCCCTGTGCTTTGCTTAGCTTAGCTTGTTCTAATTAGGCGCTTTAGACCACTGAGCCATCTCACCAGCCCCTTATTTCACTTTTATAACTACATTTCTTTGTAAATTTAATGAATAGTTTCATAGGCATCTGTTTTTTCTCTCTCTAGTCTCACATGGAAGTCTTCATGGGCATAGAGAGTGCCAAAAAAAAAAAAAAAAAGAATTATGGTAACATGTTTCATCAATCAGGCTGGCTTCAAACTATCATTGGCTGTGGAGCTGGCCAAACAATATTTACTTGGGTGAAGCAACAGTGGGTACTTCCTCATGCGTCTTCTTGACAACTGCGATTTTGTGGGTGTAGGAAAAGTGTACGTTTTGCTGTCCCTTGGCTGTTCTCGTCTGTTTGTATTATTGTTTTATCTTTGTGTCACAATTTCTTTGCAGAGGGGCTGGGGAGATGGTGCAGTGGAATAAACACTTCCCTGGCAAGCACAAGAAGCACAAGGGCCTGAGTTCAATCCCTGGTTCCAGGGGGAAAAAAAAATTGCAGGAATATTTTTAAGCTGTTCATCCATTTTATGAAGGGTCATCAGTCTAGTAGACTGTAATTGCTCTCAACAATTTTTTGGGGGGCCAGGGAGATGGCTCAGTAGAATAAGCACTTCCCTGGCAAATGCAAGGGCCTGAGTTCAATCCTCAGCGCTTGCCTGGCAAGTGCTAGGGCCTGAGTTCAATCCCTGGTTCCAAAATATAGATAGATAGATAGATAGATAGATAGATAGATAGATAGATAGATAGACAGACAGA